TAGGTCTAGAGGTAGGAGCTGAAAACTGAAAGCATATCATAGGCACTAGAGATATTTTCAGGTAATGAAAATGTTCCCAAATTGGCTTTTGGTGACATTGATGCAACTCTTTAAATTTACTAAAAATTACTAAATTATACACTTTGGTGAATTTTATGATATGCATATTATACCTTAATAAAGTAGTCTTTTTTAAAAAAACTCTACATGTATTTCAACTCTTTATATTTCCTAAATACTATTCCTTTAATCTCTGATGTTTTAAAAATGACAAAACTTTTCTGTAATAATTCCTGCTCCAGTCAATTTTTAACAGGTTGTGGAAGCTAATTCTCAGAAGTTTGGTCTTTAATCTATATAACCAAGATGACAATTTTGATAGAGTTTCTTTCATTCCACAATAACCCAATGAGTTGATGTAATCAGGCAAAATGACTCAGGCTATAATACTACATTACAAAGCTCTAATGATTCTAAAGCTCCTAAATCTGCTGAAGAAATAAAAATACCATCTGTCAAAATGATTTATATATTCTCTGGTATGTACAGTATAAATCATTGCCTAACTCTGGCATGGTACCCACTTTTGAATCCTGGTTTTTAACTCTTTTTTTCCTTCTTCACATAGAGAAAAAGATTTTACATTGCTCTTCACTAGACTTGTTTTTTCTTTTCAAAAATACAGCACTAATCTTTTTCCTCATATTTCAGCATTAAAGACTTCTTCTAACTTACCTACTGCCTAAAACATAAAACCTAGACAAATAACATTCATCTGTTCTCCATGATGAATTTAACCTTGTGAAGAAAGAAGTCATGAAAAACTCATATTGACAGTTTATTTCTCCATCGAGCAGGCAGATTCTTAATTAGTTGCCCTCCCTCCATTTACTATTCCATTTCCAGGTCTCACCAGTGGCTTTCAGAAGTATCTGGCTTAACTTGGGTGGTATTTGATCCACAAGGGCCCTTATGGTAGGGTCAAATTCCATCATTATTCCCAACCAATCTTTTCTTCCTTTCTTTTTCAAGAGACAGGGTCACACTTGGTCACCCAAGCTGGAGTTCGGTGGCCTCATCATAGCTCACTGCAACCTCTAACTCCTGGCCTCAAGAGATTTTCCTGCCTTGGCCTCCCAAAGCACTGGGATTACAGGTGTGAGCCAGCATGCCTGGCCTCAATCTTTTTTAATTTGAGACAGACTCTCACTCTATTGCCCTGGCTAGAGTGCCATGGCGTCAGCCTAGCTCACAACAACCTCGAACTCCTGGACTCAAGCAATCCTTCCTTCTCAGCCTCTCGAGTAGCTGGGACTACAGGCATGCGCCACCATGCCCGGCTAATTTTTTGTATGTGATATTTTTTAGTTGGTAATTAATTTCTTTCTATTTTTAGTAAAGACGGGGTCTCACCATTGCTCAGGCTGGTTTCAAACTCCTGAGCTTGAGCGATCCGCCCACCTTGGCCTCCCAGAGTGCTAGGATTACAGGCATGAGCCACCGGCCCTGCCTGGCCTCAATCTTAAAAAAGAGAAAAAGGGTTCTCTCAATCTGTAGTTTAGAGGATGAAACTTCAAATTATAAATGTATACATATGTAAGTATACTTACAAATAGAAAAATAAAAATAAATGCAAAGATTCAATTTAGTGTCAATCTTTAGGATTCAGTTTCAAGTGTCTTCTTTCCAATACATTTCTAAATATTAAATTCTGGGAAAATGGAGTTACAACTGAATATTTATTACATTCATTAACATGCATGTAGGTAGTTTTTTGTTTTGCTGTGTTTTGTTTTTTTTTTTAAATAGAAGACAACTCTTGGCCAGGCATGGTGGCTCACACCTGTAATCCTAGCACTCTGGAGGGCTAGGTGGGAGCTGCTTTGGCGGCGTCGTTAAGACAGACCTATCAAACAGCAGACTCATCTCTACATAACATAAAATAGAAGTATAAGCAGGGCATTAAGAGGTGGTGGCCCTGAGACACAACAACAACAAGAGGACATAGCAGAGAGGATCATGAACTACGGGATTAGGGTTCAATCATAAAGAGAACATACACTGTACTGTACTGGGGGAAGCCACAGAACGATCAAAATCAATACAAAGACAAACCGGACATCTTTTCCGCCTCAGGATTCATATAATAATATATACAAGACAAGGGGCAACATAGAGAGAAATATACACAACCTGTTCCTGCTCTTGGGGTGCCGAGGCGGGCGCATTTGCTCAGGTACATGGCCAGGAGTTCAAAACAGAGCACTCAGAGCCACACCCGTATCTCTATAAACAAAGAAACTACAATATAATAGCACACACATAAGACGAGAAATAATAAGAGATAAAAAAGATAAAGCCGGAAAGAGACAATGGGCCAAGCATGCCCTGTAAGTCCCCAGCTACTCGGAGAGGCACACATAGAAGCAGAGGAACCACTTAAAACACAAGGAGTTTGAGGTTGCTGTGAGCTAGGCTGACGCCACTGGCAACTCACTCTAGCCTGGCACACCAAAGTGAGACCCTGCTGTCTCGAAAAAAAAAAAAAATTAGAATAATTTCAACCAATGTCTACTGAACACCCACTACTTAACAAGGCCCTGGAATACTTAGGAACAAATAAGGAACAGTTTTCACCTTCAAGGAATTCATAGGCTGTTGGCAGAGAATGAACCATAACACTACATATAATTTAGATCAGATTGGGATAAGTACCACAATATTTAAAAAAAAAACAAAAAAGCTCATGGCAACAGAGGTGGCAATTGGGAATATCTGGAAAAGTTTTCAAAGAATTAACCTGATAAAAAGAAAGTAATGCTGGAATGACTAGAATTACTGGAATAGAAGGAGAAAGACATACTGGGAGACCAGGCTGAAGTCTGATGTTTAATTAAGATAATAACACTAGCTAATATTTATTGAGCATTTACTACATGTCAAGTTACACAGACACTGCTAAAAGTTATGGATCCAGAATCTTGAAATCCATAAATAATAAAAAGGATCAAATTCTGTCTCACCCCAAGCACACTCATTGTAAAGCACTTAACAGTTATCTGTCTCTTCTCTCACTAATTCCTAGGCCATCCTTCAAGGCCTAGCTCAAATACTACTTCCTCTGCAACACCTTTCTTGATCCTCCCAGCTGAAAATAATCTCTTTCTAAGCTTTATACCATCTTATCTGTATCAATCTTATGGCCTGTCAGAATATTTTGTTCCTGGCATTACAGATTTATGTGCATCATTTCCTCTTTTTTATTCTCCTTTAGTCTAATCCAGTGTCTATTCTCCAGAACTCCTAGGACAGTGTGTGGCACATAATAACACTACCAAAAATCTATAGAGCACTTATTCTTTGCAAGGCATCGTGCTAAGCTGTTTTATAGGAATTCTCTCACAAAATCCTATCAGCAACCTAACTCACACATTCAATAGCTATTTTCTTTAGCTCTTACAATGACAGATAAAATACTGGAGGGGCCTTGGTTGCTGTGAGCTAGGCTGATGCCATGACATTCTAGCCCGGGCAACAAAGTGAGACTCTGTCTCAAAAAAGAAAGAAAAACACTAGATGGGCCTTAAACTCTGTAAACAAGACACATATAATGCCTGTTTTCAAGAAGCTCACAGCCTAAGGAGGTTTGTACTATTGGTATCCCCAGGCATAGACAGGAGGAAAAATGAGGCTCAGAGAAGTAATTTGTTTGTTCAGAATCACACAGCAAAAAAGTGGCAGAGCCAGAATTCAAACCAGCTCTCCAGACTGAATATTCAGGACCCTATGCATGTGACCACTAAGTTCTAAGGGAGGCACTTGATAAACACTTACTGAAGGACATACCTCCAAATCAAAAATCCTCTCAAGGATAAAAAATGTAGGGTTTCACTCACTATTATCCTTTTTATGAGGGAACAGCAGGAAATTAGCACAAGTAAAAGCACAGATGGAGGTTGTACTAGTATCCTAATACTCACCTGGTAGCTCATAACTGTTAATCAAACCATTTGTAGAGTCTGAGTATTGAGGATTTCTTTATGTCCCTTAAAATGACCCCAGTAAGCAGAGTGCCTTCAAGTGGGTCTTCTTGAGCATCAATGCTTTGCTGGGCGCTAGGTAGTGTAGTTGTAGAGTCTGAGTATTGAGGATTTCTTTATGTCCCTTAAAATGACCCCAGTAAGCAGGGTGCCTTCAAGTGGGTCCTCTTGAGCATCAATGCTTTGCTGGGCGCTAGGTAGTGTAGTTGAGTCTCTAATTAGCAGTGAGAGCTCGGGCTACATCTCCCACCAGATAACCAGCAGGGTAAAGTAAAAGACAAGGACTCACACCCAGTTTCTTACTTAAATATGGTGCAATATTCTTGAAAGGGACTCGAACCTCAAGAGATGTGTGAATCTGAATCCGTACTTCCTATTGGAGGGGTGAGGCACTCCTCAGGAGCCCTCTGCCCCCAAGGGCCAGAAACATCTGCCTCCGTCTCTCTCCGTCTGGAGCCGTCAGACCGAGGTCCCTTCTCCAAACGCCACCTAGTCAGTCACATTGTTTGGAGTAGCCCAATCACCTCCTCAAAGAAGAGTGGCAGTAACCATACCCCAAAATATAGACCAAGCAGAAAGAGGAACAGGAGGCACTTGTCTTATTCCCCACAATCTTTTGGCCCAACAGGAGACGACCTGACTTTACACCAGGTTCAATAAGTTAAGCAGCGGAGAAGACCTCCTAAGTCCAGTCAGCTACCCAGTGACTCCGGGGACAGCCTGGGCACCGCCCCCAGCACGCCGCCCGCGCTCCACAGACACCCAGGCAGCGCGCGCGCAGGGGCCGCATCCAGACGCACTCTCCCGCCGCCACGCCCCTCCCCGCCCTCCGCCAATGGCCTGCTGCGCCGGCGTCGCGAGCTCCAGGCCCAGCCTTCTCTCACGCTGAGAGCGCTGAGCGCATGCGCCTCGGCTGCGGGCTGGGTGAGGGGTTCCTGACTCAGAGGAGGGGGAGGCGGAGGCGGGGGCGGAAATGGAAGGGGAGAGCTGGGCACCGAATGGAGTGCACGTTGGGGGCGAAGGGCGACCCGTGTTCTCCTGGGTGGCCGAGGCCGGGGCTCCCACTCGGAGCTTGAGCGGGGTCGCGGCGACCGCGCTCACCCGCCGGTGTTTGTCTGTATGTGCCCACCCAGGGAGACATGGAGAACTGTTTGGCGGCCGCGGCGCTGAACGGGGTGGACCGACGTTCCCTGCAGCGCTCGGCTAGGCTGGGTCGAGAAGTGCTGGAGCGGGCCAAGAGGAGAGCGGTGGACTGGCAGTCGCTGGAGTGTCCCAGAGGCAGCATGGGGGTCTTTTCCCGGGAGATGCTCTACCAGCAAAGGCGGCCGGCAGCCTTCCCCCAGCGCCGTCTCCCAAGAGAGGTGCGGCCCCTGTGCCCGGACCGGCCCTGTCATTGGCTCAGGGGGGCCTGCCGGGGCCGGGGGCCGGAGCTGGAAAGGATCAGGACAATAAATAGAAAAGTCCTTTGAAAACTCTTTACATTTGAGAAGCTGTGGAATAACGGTAGTGCTAAGCCTTGGTTACTTTTTTAGAAAAATTGTTACATGCTACCATCTGATATTAGAGGAAGGCTGGCAAACGTTCTTTTAGGTCCTGAATAAATTGCGTGTCTGTCAGAGTTGGAATTCTTTCCCAATAAGATCTGTCTTACTGACTTAAACTTGCAGAGGCCTTTCCAAAAGTACAGAGGGACCTGTTCCCCAAATGGCTTCATTCTCCAGTAGGGAATCCTAGATCTCACCTGTGACTTGCCATTTATTCAAATAGAGAGAAGAGAGACACCCAGCCCTTAGTGCTTCCTTCAGAACAATGGCTGAATTCATGGACTATACTTCAAGTCAGTGTGGGGTAAGTTGGTGTGAACCAAAGCTACGCCCCTATCACCTACTGATGGATCACAATATGGTTCTTTCTGTAATTTAGGGAGACTCTAGAGGCTACCTGTTTCCCCTGCCCTGCCTTGATGGGCAGATTGTGATCAGTCAAGGACTTAAACCAGGTGGCAAATTCAACTTAGAATTCATCCAACAAATATTTACTCAATACCTAACTCTGTAATTGTTGTTGAGGATACAGCAGCAATCAAGCCACAAAATTTCTCTGCCCTCATTGAGTTTTCAGTATAGTGGGGGGAAAAAAAGCTTATTTGCTGATTTTTTTTTTTTTTTTTTTTTTTGAGACAGAGTCTCATTCTGTTGCCCGGGCTAGAGTGCCATGGCGTCAGCCTAGCTCACAGCAACCTCAAACTCAAAACGATCGTCCTGCCTCAGCCTCTTGAGTAGCTGGGACTGTCGACCTGAGCCACCACCACACCTGGCTATTTTTAGTAGAGGTGGGGGTCTCACTCTTGCTCAGGCCGGTCTAGAACTCCTGAGCTCAACGGATTCCCCACACACACACCTCAGCCTCCCAGAGTGATAGGATTACAGGCCTGAGCCTCGGGGCCAGGCCTTATATGCTGAATTCTAAAGCAATTAAGTCAAATATTAAGTTTTTTGTTTCATAACTTTGAACTTAAAGTTTAGGATCACTCTAAACTGGAACTGAGCCTCTCTGTTTTCAAAATATATTGAAACAAAATCTCTACATTAGCTTTTAACTTCTAATGTTTGTTTCGAATCCCTGGTAACATAGTTTCTAAGTGTGTTCCCAGTTGGTCCATATCAGTGGTTGATGACAAAGATGGTTCTGTGGAACAGATGCAGCGCCCTGGTTAAGGGCAGTATGGTTTAATGGCAGGGGCAGCTTCCCAGGAATCAGACCCATGTTCTGCCACTTACTGGCTATAATGCCTCTGGCCAGTTAGTCTTTCTCAGCCTTACCTAAGGCATGTCACCAGAAGAGTGGGAAGCTGGGGAAAGCACTTGAGGACATGAAGCGAATGATGTATTTTAGCTTCTTTGTTATTAAATTAAGATTCCCTCCCACACACCAGTAACACTAAATTAAGATTTCTAAAATCCTTTCCAGCCTTTACAGTCTGTTTTTTTGGTTCCATTGAGAGGCAGACACCAGTAAATTATCGTAAACTGTAGCATGAGGGATTTAAGTCAGATTTTTTTTTTGTACCAATCATTGAAATGGGTGAACAAAGGTTTTGAAGTCCCTCATTTCACATACATTTAGATCATTTTTAAGTACTTTGAGGGAATGTTGAAGGCAGACCAGACCTTACCTGCATGGAAGGTGCTCTCCATCTTCTAGGAATTATAACAGACTCTGGTCTCTTTCAGTCCTAACATTTTGTGAGTCCTATGTGGTTGTGAGGATGTTGGTGTGTAAGGGAGAAGAAAGAGAATACCTTGTTTCTGTCCTCTTTTTCGGTTTCATAATGTTTCAGATCTCAAACTCTGATCTTTCTACATCTTTTATAAAAATCCCTGTGACTCAAAGACTAGGATTCTAACTAATGAGATATGGTTCAGAGAATATTTCTATGTTCTTATTTGTACTAAGTGGTTTTAGAAGAACAATAACTTCAGCCCTACTATAAAGTGATTAACTTAAACACTTGGTTCATGGTTCAGTAAAAGAAATAATATTTGTCTTTGGCTTGAGGTTTAGCAAATTGGCGTTCTTTCTGGTTTTCAGTTCATGCTTCAGTTCGAGGCTCTATTGTGGAATGAAGCCTCAGAACCCTTTGGCTTTTTAGAGATGGAATTAAGAGATAGTGTTCTGGGTTTGCCTCTACAGTTTTGAAGCATCCATTAGATTTGTGCCCTGATGTGCTTTTCCCAACTTCTCATTCTTCTGGTCACATATTTCAGACATTATCCCTACAGTATGTTCAAAACAAGCAGGCTTGTGATGTCCTCATCATTAGTCATAATCAAGGGCAAGCCTAAGGTTAACTCAGAGGGGAAGAAAGGAAGTAGACAAGAAAAATGTAACTTTTCTGATCCTCTGGGTTATTCTTCTTAAACTGGAGACCTCTCCCTTGACTCCCTCATATGGGAAGCATGGGGAGAAGGGCTGCATAGCTCTTGGGTTTATGTTTCATTTCCTGCTGTATTTCTACATCTCAAGGAAATTCACCCCTCTCTTCCTGTGTCCTTGTGTGAATCTTAGACAATAAACATGGAACTGTTCATCAGAATTTGTCAGGGGAGGAAATGAAAGGATATGTATGTTTGACATTGGGGTGAAGATGTGAAAATTGTTTAACCTGGCAGAGAGCATGGTCCTGCCCACCTTTACTTGCCCAGAGTTCTTGCCCTGCAGAGGCAGCAGATGGCAGCAAAGTAATGCCAAATGTTGTTTCCCTCTCTGCAGCCACTCTATATGGGTTAAGGTTTGTTATATGACATCAGAGGCTGTCAAGAGGACAGGTAATTTATCTGTGCCCTCCTGCCTCCCTCCTTAACCATACTTGGCCCAAGTCTCAGAGGGTTTTTTGACAATTTGACAAGACTATTTGATTACTTGTCTTTCACATTACTTCTCTAGAAATATTATTCATCTGTGCCCGAGGAAGGAGGGGCAACCCATGTCTATCGTTATCACAGAGGGAAGTCGGAGCTGAACACATGCTCAGACACAGAGACTGGTCAGGTATGTATCTCAACTGTTCTACACTGTGCCCTCAGCCAACTAAGATATGACACCCTATATTCGGGAGCCCCTGCTAGACTTTCTATTACTGTATGCTGTGTGACTTGGCATTATAGTGCTCAACAGAAATGTGTAAACTTGCAGGCCTTAGAGAACTTAGAACAATGATTGTGAAACAGGAGTTTATCTAAAATATAAGATTGATGCCACCGTAGTATCTTTAGTTGAACCTGCAATCCTGGGCCATGGGATTCTTGGGCAGGCTTTAAGAAAAGAGCTTCAGGCAGCCACAGTGACTCACATTTGTAATCCCAACACTTTGGGAGGCCAAGGTGGGAAAAGGGTGGGAGAGTGGGCACAGGGACATGGGTGAGGGCTGAGTGCACTCAAAGCACCTCCCGCATGCCTTCCCTGGCCTGGGTTATGAGGGGCAGTGCTGCAGCCTGAGTCCTGGGGCCCCCTTTCTGGCCTAGGCTATGCTCTCCCCTTACCTAAGTGTGCCTGACCCTCAGAGGTTACATGCAGGAAAGAGTCATTCTTGTCTCTCCCTATAAAGTGTCAATTGGCTTTATTAGTCAGCCTGTTCCCTTCTACCCCACTCCTAGGAGAAACCAGAACAGAATTAGATTTTCTGAGAGCCTAAGTGTCAGTCACTTTTGCACTTTCAAGCTTCCCTGCAATTCAGCAGCCCCATGTTATAGACTAGGAAACCAAGGCTCAGAGAAATTCATCTGTCCCTCCTAGTAAATAGCAGAGACAGGACTTAAACTCACGTAATTCTGACTCCAAAGCCCATGTGAGGATAAAACAGTAATCATGGTCAGTGTCTGACTAAAAATACCTCAGAGAATTCACTAAAAAGAGCCTTTATAATTTAGGTGACAACTTAAGAAAAGCTGACAGAACAATGATTGGTTCTCAGTAAGGTAGAAGAAAATTTCTCTTGAAAATCCAGATGTCAAAGCTTGAGCAGGAATCAGTGTTTCTACTTGTCTCTTTAGAGAAAAGACACAAAAAGAACATCCCTTCATCCTGGAGGCATCTATCAAATATCAGAGCATGTTCCAGGGGTGTCTAAGCCTGTGAGTATAGAACTGCTAGTGCACTGGGTTCCACCACCGTTACAACTCCATGGACCACTTGACCTGGTTGCTATAGGACTCTCTGTTTGTACTGGATCAATGGTGTTTTTAAGTTGGGTTGTTCTTATACTTGAGGAGGGTGCACAAAATTTTGGTTCAGTGTAAAATTATGTTTTCTTGGTATCCTTCCTTCACTTGAAGCTTCAGGGATACTCTTTGTGTCTCAACTCATAGTTGTGGTTGGAAAGAATGCGAAGTATTTGCGTTTCAGTTCCTACAGCTCAGCTGAGCTGGCACTGGGTCCTGCTGGAATTCCACCATCTGTTCAAGCAGCAGGAGGGGCCTGATCGTCCTGCTTACAAAGTAAAAACCATTGGTGAAATTCTGAAACATACACATTTGGTAAAATCAGGCTCCAAAACATTTGAATGCATTTATTCCCATTTTCCACAAATGATTCTCTGTAAAAACATATGATAGTGAGTTTTTTATTTTTAGGATAAAGTACTCGTTATATCATGAACCCAGAGAATCTTTTGGGAACTTGGGAGGGCCGGAATTCTGAGGAAAGGAATTTCAGCATGTTGCTGCAATTAATTTCTTGCTTTTTGTTTGTATACAATTTGCTACTAGTCAGGATTTGGAATATACTAGAGTTAGTAGCACTTAAGAATATTCTGCTTCTAGTACAAATATAAGTTGTTAAGGCTTAGATGCCTCCAACACTTGCTGGTTTTGGTAATGCTGACATTCTGTAGTGTTAGAGTTACAGATGCCAGTCTTACCTCAGTGTTTCCTTGTACACAGACAAACAAGCATCCTTGGCTTTCTGCAATTCTGAGAGAGCCATATTTTCTGAAATCCACTTTTGTTTATTTACACAGTTGACAACCAATAAATAGTTGTGGCATTGTTGTATACATTTTCCTCAGTTAAATAATATAGACCTCCAGTTTTGTAGTAACTGTACAGGCATGAAAGGATATAACATAAAGCAGCTTTGGAAAAAATTGGCTTCAAATCCATCTGTAAGGCAGGGGGTAGGGGAGGAAGTTTCATAAAAGTGTAAATATTATCATTTATTTCTCCTAGTGGAATTTGCTGGCTAGTAGTTTAGTTTTTCCCGTGTGTGGTGGTGGAAATGACAGCTTCTGCCTGTGGCTCCTTAGGAGCATTGAGAATCATGTAGTGGCATCCCAGCTGTCACTTTGGCTCTTAATTACAGACTCTTTTCTGTTTTGAAAACCATCCTCTGCCTGCACACCTGCCATGACCCACTTCCCAGCCACGTGTGAAGTCTATCTTTGGAGGATGGTTTGTGCTCTGTTGGGTTCCAAACAAAAATGTTTCCATGAACTCCAGCTTCCAGTGTTTTGCACTATAGGAGAACCAATCCTCCAAAGCAGGCTTTGCCAGGCAGCTGACTTGCTGGTTCAGTGACAAAATGGAATCCATTCATATTGTTCTTAGCTTTAGGAGAAAAAAAAAATTCTTCGTCTTCCTGGTAATGAATTTAGCAAAGCAGTTAAAAAAGTGGTTCTCCTTATTCCAAGATCCCTTGCCACTATGGCCAGTCTGTGCTAACAAGTGCCACTGTCTGCTTTTGATTCCCAAAACAATGGCTATTAGCCTTTCCCTCTGCCTAATTCTTACTCCAAGTAGAGTGTTCTTTTTATAATCCTTCAAGTTCCTGTAACACTTAAGCATTTACAAAGTGTTTTCACATCTTATTTATGAGGTAAGTATTATCACAGGTTTAGAACCAAGGAAACACGCATAAAGAAAGGCTGAGAATTACCAAAATGGCAGTGCTATTCTGTGACCAAGCTGAGCCTTGAAATCAGGACCTCTGTCTCCCACATTAGTGCTCTGTCCCGTCATGCCTCCAGCACATAAAGGTAGCCTGGTGGAGGTGCCATGATGGCAATGGGATGTAAAATCTCTAAACTGCTAATATCCTCTTTTCCTTCCAGGCTGAGAACATCTCTAAGGACCTCTACATAGAAGTATATCCGGGAACCTATTCTGTCACTGTGGGCTCAAATGACTTAACCAAGAAGACTCATGTGGTAGCAGTCGATTCTGGACAGAGTGTGGACTTGGTCTTCCCGGTTTGATGTTGACCATCACTGCCATCACATCACCTTTTTTTTAAGTAGCAAGAAGAATAAAGCCACTTTATGATTCTCTTAATAGTTACACATTATCCTGCTTTTAGTGCTGACTGTGTCAGCCATCCTGGGAACTGGAGTCTCTTTCAGTGCCTATTTTAACTTGACAGTGTAGAAGTCCCCAACCTCATTTGCATAAAAGAAATGATGATGCTGTCTGAACAGTTTTTACTGCTTGCTTTCCAAGTAAAAGTTAATAATGATAATAAAGGGAGAAATTTAGAAATGAAGAGAATTCATTTTTATTGGTATTAAGGGATAAAACAAAATGTTGCTCATGTACAACTGTAGGCTTTATGAAAAGATGCATGAGAGGCTGTGGACATGTTTGCCCAAAATAGGCTGACCACACCCTGTATCTTCTGTGGAAGAGGCATCCTCAAGCAGTCTCGCCAGGGCCCTGGCAGGGAGCCGGGGGCAGAGCTGCCACACTCCTGTGCCCCTCACAACAGGTGCTGTCCTGCACTCACCTGCAGGGACTCTTGATGAGGTGAAGATGCTGCTTACACTTCTATCACCTGTGGCCTGCACTGTCTTCCTTCCATTGAAGGTGGCCTTGGCAGCCACTCTTTGTAACTCCATCGTGTTATTTTTTAATTTCCTATATGAAAAAAGTTGTCTTACACTGACTGTAATCTTACACATTAACTGCCATGTGAGTAGTATTTAACTCATGCTAGTTTTAAGCCCAGGCCTCGTGAAGCATATGTAAAACTCACATGTCTCTTTACCTTGGGAGCCTCGTGGTACACAGGCAACTCACCCTGTAGCTTGCGTGTTATGTGATGCGTGGCCCCCTGGGCAAAACCCTGCAGTTGGTTCATGAAAATCTTACTTGTTGATATTGTTACAATTAATGGTGACCATTTAATTGCATATAACTCATGGACAGAACAATAAAAAATAAATTTTTCATTAAATTAGAAAGGATTGTTTTGTTTTCAAAGTTTTTATTCTATTTTTATGATAAAACACCATGGCCCCAAGGAAAAAAATTTTTTTTCTAGTGTGGCAGTCAATGTGTTAAGGGTCAAAGTCACTGATTTTAAGGCCAGGCTTGGTGGCTCATGTCTGTAATCCTAGCACTTTGGGAGACTGAGAATCGCTTGAGGCCAGGAATTCAAGACTAGCCTGAGCAAAAGTGAGACCCCTATCTCTACAAAAAATAGAAAAATTAGCGGAGCATGGTGGCACACATCTGGAGTCTCAGCTACTAGGGAGGCTGAGGCAGGACAATCACTTGAGCCCAGGAGTTTGACGTTGCAGTGAGCTATGATGACACCACTGCATTCTAGCTAGGGCAACAGAGTGAGACTCCATCTCAAAAAAAAAAAAAATCACTACTTTAAAAAAGTCATTGATGTATCTCAAACATCTCTAAGCTACCATGCCAACAGTATTGTTACATCTCCTAGTTTAGTTGCCTCCTGATTCATCTCATGTTGAATGTAACACATCTGTCTTCAGGAAAAGTGCTGGTATTTTATACGAGGAAAACAAAGTTTTAGGTACAGCTACATTAACATTTCTAGTGAGGAACACTCCTGGGTTCAGAGGGCTGAGTAAAGCAGACCCATGCCCAACTCCACAGAGCAGAGGGTCATTTAAATGGGGATCCTTACACCCCCAAGAAGCCTGTGATGAACTTAATGGGTTCTACAAGCCTTCTGAAATTATATGCAAAATTGTATGTATTTTTCTGAGAAAAGGGGACATGGGGCCATTGTCAAAGGGGATATGACCTAAAAAGGTATAAGAACCATGTAAGGAATCCTTAAGAAGCCCCTTTCTAACCACTCGGTTTTACCTAGATCCTCAGGACTTTAAGGGGAATTCTTGGCTCTCTGATGAGTCACAATACCCTGACTCAATTTTCTGTGTTCAGCTTCCTCTGGCAGAGTCTGTGGTAGCTTCATGTTGGTGGCTTTCATGGCCAGCTCCTTGGGAGTCCCCACTCCAACGGTTTGTACTCCCTCCTGTCTGTTGTCTTTCTGTTTCTGGATGTTGCAACGTCTTGTTCCTAAACCCAAAAGTCAATATGTCAAATATGCCACCATTTTGATGGGATTAGTCTTAATACAGGTAAAACTATATCAAGGATCACTAAACCACTTAAGTATCTGTGTAAGCTCCTAGCATTGTTATCTATTTTTGAAGAGAAAGTTTGTTAATCGTTTCTGGCCATTATACTTTTAGGAAAGTTTATTATCTGGTACTCACATTTGAAGTTGGGGGGAAGAAGTTATAAGATATATTTTTCAAACAGCCAGTAGGGGAAGCAAAGGTAACCAACTGCCACCAGTTGAAAGAGTGCCAAAGGAGGATCACAAGGATGAGATAATAAGCTGATGGAAAAACAAGTTTTAAGAAATTGAGCCGGGCATGGTGGCACGTGCCTACAGTCCTAGCTACTCGAGAGGCTGAGGCAAGAGGATGGGTTGAGAACAAGAGTTGGAGGCTGCAGTGAGCTGGAACTAAGGCACTGTACTCCCACCTGGGCAATAAAGCAAGATCCTGTCTCTAAAACAAAAATAGGAAGGAATACTTTTTTGAGTTACTTTTAAAACTACAGACTGAGTCCTGTTTCAGTCATAAACAAGGGGAGAGCATCATGACTGCTGGCAGCGACACTCTGGCCTCCCCAGGGCTGTCAGAATGACACTGCAACCTCTCGCTGCCATAACCAGAAGTAACAAACCACAGAGGGCAGAGCATCCACACAAAAGGCTTTGTAAGAGGCAGAGCTCAAGACTGTCAAGCACCAGTACTTGACAGAGCTGATACCAAGTACTGTCAGATCAAGTACTGATATCAAGAACCGATTAAATATCAAGCATATTTGGGAGAAGCAAAGTAGCACATCTCCTTAAAAGGATACAGAATCTGAAGGGGACAAAAGCAAAGCACTGGTGTTTCCCACTGTCTCCAGCCCCGGCCCACACGTGGGTTTATGTGCTGCATCTTCACTTGTTAGCTGTGGTGGGCAGTACCGTGTCTGTGACAAGGGCTAGGGAGGGCCCCTTTCTCCACACCCTGTCTCAGGCATGTTCTCGATGTATTTGAGAGAACATGCCTGAGATGGGGCAAGAGTGAAATCCTCATGGGCTAAGCAATCCTCTGGCTGAGCAGCTGTGCTAGAAGTAGGGCAATGGCTTCAAACAAGGACATACAATGGGACCCAGTATGGGCAGTGCCTGGAGATGGCTAAGCCCTCAGCAGTGGTGTCCCTTAGGCTTCATGGCATCCCTGCCCCAGATACCCCTTCACTGAATGTTGAGTCAGTGAGCCCGGGGCCCAGGAATCTCATCAAGCCAGGCTCATCCAGGCTCCTCCTTCACACAAATAGCTCTGCCAGCCAACATGGGCTTCCACTCTTTCTGGGTCCCGCTGGGAATTTAGGTAGGCTGTGTGTGATGAGGCAGATAATGACAGGTTTGAGATCCCCAAACCTACCAGGGCATGCCCTGCAGTTCTCAGCTGCAGGCAGAGTAGTTTGGGGGTGGCTGCAGGCTGCTGACAATAGCCAGGAAGGAGGAACAACAGTACCCTGGTCCTTCCACGCTGACTGACTAGGGGGCCGTCTGAGGAGCAGGGCCAGCTGACCAGCGCTGAAGGACAGTGTCTGTGCTGCTCAGGGCATCGGCTCTGATCAACACCTGCAGGCAGTTTGACTGTCCATCTAGAGAAAAATCAAGGCCTCCAAGAAAAAGGATGGGGCAAAAACGGACAGTGGCAGTGCCCTGTCAGTAGAGACTGTGACGACAGGAAAAGACAGGCATTCAACAGGGGTGCAAGGCTTAGCGCAGACCTCAGCCCATCCTTCCTCTCTTGGGCCTGAAAGGGAAACCTGCCATTTCCTCTTAGCACAGTCTCCCCTTCCACATGACCAGACTCCTAAGTGTTACTTCAATCCCAACAGAGTGGACATGTGCCTCAGATTCCTAAGGGGCCTCCGTCCCTGCCTTAGGAGACAAGCCCATGCCCTTGGTATACCTGGCTTCCCAGGGCGTGGCTCAGGCCCGTTTCTCCTCCAATACCTCCACTCAGGCCGGCAGAGGCCACTCTGCCTCGGAGACGTCTCTAGAAGGATGGGGTCTGTGTTGATTGCGCTGTTCACCATCAGTCTCTGGGGAAGGCCCATCTCCAGATCATCCTCCAAATCTTCTTCTTCAGAGGAGGAGGCGGATGAGGAAGAGGAGGAGAAAGAAAGAGCCACGGGAGCAGGCACTGCTACTTCCTCCTCTTTGGGACCCTCTAGGGGCAAAAGCTGTGCCGTGGGCCTCAGCTCTGACTCTGGAAGTTCTCTGGCTGTGGCCTCTGAGGTCCTGTGTAGAGGCCACCAGGTGAGGCCAGCCGAGGGGCAGCAGCAGAGGCAGCCCTGGTGCAGCAGCTGGCAGCAGGTGTGGGGGTGGCAAGGAGGATGCAGAGACGGAGTGCCCAGAGGAAGCCCATTGGCAATGCATCCGGTGGCCGGCCCCAGCAGAGAGCAGCAAGGGGCCCTGCGGAGGGGACTGGGGTGCTCCCTGGTGAAAGGCTTGCGCAGCCTCTCCACAGCCTTCTTCCAGATGGCGGGAGTCACCCACTGGACCTCACCTAGAGGCACTTTAGCTGTTCTGCCATTCCAGAAGTGAACAGTGATTTCTTCTTCCTTTGGTGCTATGAATTCGAAAAGGGCAACATTTTGTTGCAATTACCTCTTCCTAATTACGGGATAAAGGTCCTCCTATCCCCAAAGGCTCCCATTCCCCTCACCTGTGCCATTTTTACCACCACTTCTGGGTGGACTTGCATGAGCCTCCCTGCCCCTGGACTACAAGGTGACCTGGAGGGGCCCATTTCATGTCAAAACTGAAATGCATCCTCAGTAGAAGCCTCCTCCTGTCACTTTCTGGATTGCAATGGTGCTGACTGGCTCTACAAAAGAGGATTGTCGGGCCCTGGAGGCCTTGGTGAAGAATGGGTAGTGAGTTCCAGTGTGACCGCAGGGGGACCCCACCACACCATGGTATGCTAACCAATGTAGACATAGGAGTTTTAGGCCATTTTCCCTGATCCAAAAAAAAAGGCATTTTTTAATCTGAAAGATATGATTTGTATATCTGTTGCTGCTCCAGGATTAAACAGCAGGTAAGGGGACAGGGATTCTTTCTGTAATGCCTCCAAGCCCCCTAGGCTGTGGAGACACCCGTTGTTCTCTCCTCTGGCTTGGTCACCAGCCTGGCTCCTCCTGGGGACTGATAAGTCAGAGCAGCTTTCCTTACCTCTCTGGGGGTCTCCTGCCTCCAAGCTCAAGACAACAGTGCCAGGGCCATATCGCTGTCGGTCTGGCTCCCAGGGCGCTAGCACCTTGTCCCCCAGGTGCAGTACGTATCCCACAGATGGTGAGAGCCGAATGACGTCTTCTTCTAAGACCACACTCTGTTGGCGAGCTGGCCCCTCTGTGCCTGTGACTAGTGGAGCCTTGTATTCCACAAGCAGGGTCCCCTGTCTCTCCATCTGGCGGGGGAGAAAACACTCAGAATAAGCACAACAGAGAGCACCCGAGTTCCCTATGACGCCCCAGAACCAGGCCCCGGGGCTTCCTTATAGTGAGGGCCACCGACTAAAGAAGGAACAGGTGCTGCTTGGAGCCAATTACAGCAAGACAGGCTGAGTTGCAGGTGCTCTTCCTCCACCTCTCCTTGTCATGGGCAACTCTTGATTACTTCCAGCCTTTCCCTTTTAATTCTCTTCCTTTTCCTGCTTTTCTTCCCTCCTATCAAGTTTTTGGCCTGCAATTCCCAGGAGTAACCTCTCTGGCTCTTCCCGCAATGCACTCCCTTCCTCTCAACACCACAGTACATGTTGTTCCTGTGTCCAAGATGAACTAGGGATGGTTTCTCATACATCTCTGCGGCCCATATGGGCAAGGAGTGGTTGTGGCCATAGGGCAGCCCTCATCGCCACCCTTAGGGTCAATAAGGAAAGGCTTAGCCGAGCAAATGAATAACATCAAAGAGAGGGCAGGAGAAGTGCTTAAGCCAATTAAATGTACAAGTACAAGCTGTTTTGAATACTCAGTATGAAGAGAAATGAAGTCTGGTAACAAATTATTTTCATCAAATCACTAGACAGAACCCATACTTGAGCAGAACTCTGCTAACACTTAATTTTGAATTCCATAGTATTTACTTGAAAATAATAAAACGGCTTTTGATGGAAATTCTGTAATTCACAGTTTTTCAGAATTCCTATTAGTCTTCCTTTCACAGATCCATATGCACAAAATCTGACTCTGAAAAGAAGAGAAAAATCTCCAAAAAGTAAGTAGCTACTGAAGTGAAGCCCAGGCATGGCTAGCAGCATGCCAGGAAAGAGCTTCTGTGTACACCTGCACACGTGTGCTTGTAGGCAAACGCCGTGTACGCCTGCATGCGTGTGTATGTAGTCAAACACTGTACACCAGCATGCGTGTGCATGTAGGCAAACATGTTCTGTTCCTCTTTCCCTTAGGCTGGTGTCCATGGTTGAACACACTGAACTTTCCTGAAGAAAGTACTTTTTGTTTGTTTGTTTGTTTTTTGAGACAGAGTCTCACTTTGTTGCCCAGGCTAGAGTGAATGCCGTGGCGTCAGCCTGGCTCACAGCAACCTCAAACTCCTGGGCTCAAGCGATTCTCCTGCCTCAGCCTCCTGAGTAGCTGGGACTACAGGCATGCGCCACCATGCCTGGCTAATTTTTTCTCTATATATTAGTTGGCCAATTAATTTCTTTCTATTTATAGTAGAGACAGGGTCTCGCTCTTGCTCAGGTTGGTTTTGAACTCCTGAGCTCAAACCATCTGCCCGCCTCGGCCTCCCAGAGAGCTAGGATTACAGGCGTGAGCCACTGCGCCCGGCCAGAAAGTACTTTTAATGTAAATTTTCTTCTCTGTTATGGATAGAATGATGTCCCCACCCTCCCTATACCCCCGCATTCTTGTGTTGAAGCCTTAGCCCCCCTGTACCTCAGAATATGACCTTATTTGGGAATAGGGTCATGGAATTGCATGGATGGAATTAGTTAAGATGAGGTCAATTAATTGCAGATGGAATTAGTTAAGATGAGGTCATGAGTATAGCAGGTCCCTAATCCAATATGACTGATGTCCTTATAAAAGGGGGAAATTTGGACAAGCACACACTCAGGAAGGATGCTCTGTGAAGCTGAAGGCAGAAATCAGGGTGGTACTTCTATAAGCCAAGGAACACGGAATGCCAGCAAACCACCAGATGCTGGGAGAGGGGCATGGGACAGATTCTTCCTCACAGCCCTCAGAAAGAACCAACCCTGCCAATACCTGGACTTCTGGCTTCCAGAAATATGAGACAATAAATTTCTGTTGTTAAAGCCACTCAGCTTGTGGCATCTTATTATGCAGCCCCAGCAAACTAATATACTCACTGATATTACAGATTTGCTTCTACAATGTAGCCATGGAAGATCTGTGCTTACTCACAAAACCAAACTTCTGGACATGCATAGCTAAGGCACAGCAGGTATGACGGGACCCGCCCAGAAGAGCAGGCCAGGGAGACGCTGGGGGTCAGGGACTTGCCTCTGGAGCGGCCTTTATCTGAGCCCGGTAATAACAGCCGTCTGGTTCCCTTCTTGCCAGGACCCGTGTGTCAGCATCTCCAGCTCTTCCCAGCCAGCCAGGCCCCTGCCACGCTGGGTCAGCACAGTGGAGACACGGGTGATAAGAGGCACACCTGGAGAAAAGCAAACAGAATTAGGGAACACCAAGCCCTAAAAACAACAAGAAACACATTTCAGATCCTCAAAGGCGGTTTTTGTAGTTTTTGTTTTGGCTAGAAAAGTTTACCCGCGGTTGCCATGGCTGAGTGAGATGAAGGAGCAGGATTCGCGACGGTGGATGAATTCCCTGTTTGCATTATAGGGTTGGAGTTGACTTGTCCTTATGTGAACGGGAGTCAAAAAGCCTTGAGAACTTCGAACTAAGCAGTAGCTTCTTCCTCGACACGGACATGGCACAGGAGAAAATGGAACTAGGTTTGGAGCTGCTTCCAAGTTCCACCACCACAGACTGCAACATCCTGAGATGATCCAACAGCGTCCCTTTGATCAATGGACTTAGGCTCTGCAGGAATCTCCCTTGTTCCTGATGTCCAGAGATCCCACCCTCAGCCTGGGCGGGAGTGGGACGGGCTGACCTGAGGGAGAGCAAACACCCACCCTGAGGTTGACACACATCTGAACTTGAACGCCTGAACGTCCTCTCCTGACAGTCCACAAGGACCTGAAAGCAGCAACCAGTTGGTGTGGAGCACGACCTTTTTCTAACTTTACTCCATCTCTTACCCATTCCTTTGAAGAAACTGAGCATCCTCCCCCTCTTGCCTCCAGATCTTATGCCATGACTTTAATTTTTGTCTATCCTCTCAACTCTTTTGTCACCTCTGACCTTCACCTCCAGCACACTCAAGACATACATGGTTGTCAAGCAAATAAGTTTAAACTGGTTTCACACCTAGTTTTTATTTGAGCAGAAAGTTTAGGTACCACAGAAGCTTGATCTCCTAAATTATACATTCTCAATGGGTGATATTTCCCCCAAGGTGGTAGGGGGAGAAAATTGGTTCTTGGGGGAGGTGTGGAAAATGTTTAACTCTTTTTATCTATAAAGCACAGATATATATACAGTACACATAAACAGATATACAGTATATCTGTGGTGTTAAAATTTTGTGAAGGGGCAGCAATTAGGAGGAAAATGTCTAAAAAGGCTCCATAGAGAACCAATAACAGAAAAAGGATTTAGAAACATTGCACTAAAATACTAACTGTATTTCCTACACCTATCTGAAAGTCTGGCATTACTAAATTTTATTATTTCTTTTTTAAATTTTTTTTAATTTTAAGTTATGGGTACATAATAGTTGCATATCTTTATAGGGTACATGTGATGTTTTGATACAGGCATACAATGTGAATTAAATAAGGGTAATTCAGGTATCCAAAGCCTTATTATATCTTAAGTTGGAATTTTAAGAGGAGATCTTGAATCTATATCATAAAGTTTTCTAGATATTGTAAAAATGTCTGAAAAATTCATTCACTACATATGTTAACTTTGCTCCTCACCTTTTGTGGCATCATCCTAATTGATAGTTGTAATTCACATCATAGAATGTTAGAAAGGAAGCCAGAGAACAGATCTACCTTCCTTGTTTAACATATGAGGAAACCGAGGCCCATAAATCTTCAAAATGACATGATTAGTGGCAGAGCCAGCACTAGGACCCTGTGTCTCCTGATTATCCTAAACTAATATTCTGTCCACCCCTAATCAATATCTAAGCTGATAAATTCTTAAACAAATGCAGCCTTTGGATCACTTGAGATAGGAGAGAATATATTGTCACAAAGTGAAAAGCAAATTAACCAAAAAAAAATATACATTACCTTTTTAAACTAGGCAGGTAGAAAGATAAAGGTGGGGGACGCTGCATGTTGTGCTGAGAAAAAGAACATTTTATAAACTTGGGATTTTGCTGTAATCCTCTTGTGAGAATAAAGGAACTGTTATGGGACCTACTCTTCTGGTAGAAGAGAGAGGTGAGGAGAATGTTGGTTTTATTGGAAGGCATTATGAAAAGAAGAAACAGGTTGAAAATACAAGGGGATGGACCAGGCCCCCTTTCCTAATCCCCCAAGTCCTAGAAGCAAAGAGATCTCAGTTATCCCTTCATATCTTGCTTTATTCTGCAAAAGATTTGAGGTTTTGTTTTTGTTTTGTTTTGTTCTTAATCATATTAGGACATAGTTATAGTGTTGAATTCCATAGCTTAAGATCCTGATACATGAAGTAAAATTTGTACAGAAAGGTGTTACTAACATATTTATCTAGTAGGAGTTAAAGATATAGAAACTATAAAGTGGACCAAGTCTGGGGACTCTGGTCCATCAAAAAGAAGTAACATAGGAGTAATATTTGACATGCCTAGGTCAGGAAACTTGCCCAAATGATCCAAGGGCATATTTTGTGCTGTCATAGCGAGTTTAGGATGTAGTTGGAGAAGTTATTCTCAAGCAAGACAAATTTAGAATAGGATTACACTGAGCCTTAGTTGAATTCATTTTCACCTGTGCATATATACATAGAGAGCTCACTCTTCTCACTTTTACTTCCTTGGGCCTAAAATACTTCTTGTCCTGCCTCTTTCTAAACTATACCTGGCAGCAAAGCATTCTATTGACAGCTTGGTAAATATTGTTGTGCCTCTTTCAAGTAATTTTCTAATTTTGCTTGATGTTTCTTGTATATAAAGATTCCCCCTCTTGCACCAGCATTTGCAGAATTAAATTCCTTAAACTTATTCCTTAAATGTTAACTCTTGAATACAATATTACTGTTTTAAAGAAGTTCCTGGACTGTTTTGTATAGATCTTGTATTGATAAAAGTACCAATGTCAAAAAAAAAAGAGGCCAGGAGTGGTGGCTCACGCCTGTAATCCTAGCACTTTGGGAGGCCTAGGCAGGCGGATGGCTCAAGGTCAAGAGTTCGAAACCAGCCTGAGTGAGACCCCGTCTCTACCAAAAATAGAAATAAATTAATTGACCAGCTAAAAATATATATACAAAAAATTAGCCGGGCATGGTGGTGCATGCCTGTAGTCCCAGCTACTCGGGAGGCTGAGGCAGTAGGACAGCTGAGCCCCGGAGATTGAGGTTGCTGTGAGCTAGGCTGACGCCACGGCACTCACTCTAGCCTGGGCAACAAAGTGAGACTCTGTCTCAAAAAAAAAAAAAAAAAAAAAAAAACACATTTCACAGATCTGAAGTGCACCACAGCATGTGTATGACACACAAGGGTATGTGGAACAGAAATCCACGTGGAAGTGGCAATCTATGGCTTCTGGTAAGATAAGGGAAACTTTTGGGAGGAGCAGAAGGAGCATATAGTGTCAGGCACCATCATTTATGCATTGAGAATTGTTTCCAGGTGACTAAAATGCAATTAGCTGTGATGTATCCAAGTTAATTAATGCTTGTCCTGAGACTAGACAACAGAACAGGAAAGACTGCCAGGAAGGTAAATGCTAGGGTGGTGTGTGGGATTAAGGGATGGCATTGCCAAAGGAGCAGAACAGTAAGGCCACTTGGCACTGTGGGGTCAGAGGGATGAGCAAGTTTTTCAGCAGGGATAGCACAGAGGAGCTGACTGAGGAATCGCAGGACAGTAGAAGAAGCTAGTTCTGGAAAAGTTTGTGGGCAGGGCCAGTTGGCCTAGGGGAGTTGTTGAGTCAGGGTTTCGGTTTTTGAAGAAGCTGTTAACTTCATGGGCAAGGCTGAATACAAAGATGCTTAACCACCATGATCCATGTAGATGAATCAAGAAAGGGAACAATTAAAGACCATTCCAGCAGGCACGACCCTAACCTGGGCAGACTGAGTTGAGAGGCATGGACAGGAGTCACTGGAACTGCACAGTTCCTATGCGCCTTAGGCTGAGGCTCCTTGGCCCTCCTGCATTCACACTCTAGACAGCTGACAACTGAGGGATACTGAGGAGGTACCTGGAGATCCCGTCTTAGTTGTTGGTTACAGAAACTAATTTCTCACATGGTGCCAGTGCAAGTCTCATAGCTGATGGTAAAATGAGATAGAAACTTTGTAACTGGTCATCCCTGACTGCTTCCTCTTACTCATGCCAACTGTGACATCCGTGATTCTGCTACAAGGTGGGAAAAAAAGCTAGGTCAGCCCTGAGGGTCACTGAGGGCACAGTTTAGGCTACAGTAATACACTTATACCCCATGCAAGTCACAGGCCAAACAGTTGAGAATCATTTTAGCCTTTCCAGGAAACAAGGCCTCTCCATCATGGTACACCTCCAAGAGCCAGGAACAAAGGAAGAAAAAGTGGGCATCCCACTTCCTCCAAAGAGACAGAGACTGGTACCTTGTAAGAGGCTCGTGCCTGGTGAGCCAGGGCGCTCGAAGGGCAAAGGGGCAGGTGAAGGAGAGGTCCCAGAGTGGAGCAGCATGGTCCCAGCCAGACGCCTTCAGAGTTGTGGCCACGCTGCAGTATTTGGGCAAAGGCATCCCAAGCCCGGTGGAGGATTCCATGGCCTTCTGAGGAACCACCTGAGAACAAGCACCACCATTACCCAAGCTGCAGCCCACAGCCAGCAGGGGGCGCCTGGGTGGGGCAGGACCCAGCTCTGCGCTTACCTGCCTCTTTAGGGACAGCTGCACCCACGCAGGGCGCCACCGGCTCCCGCAGACGCTCAGTTTCTTCTTCAAATCACTTGCCTCAGGGACCCCAGCTCAGGAAATAAGGGGGGGGGTTGTGAAAAAGCAAGAGCTGTGATTTTAGAGAGACCAGCTTTAAATCCTTCTTCACAGCCTGCTGGCTGCGTGCACACTTAACCTCTGCGCTGCAGTTACCGCTCAGGAGATAATATATGGAAAGCATCTGGCACATAAGTGGCCCAATATATATGTTCGTTTTTTTCTCTTTCCTCCTCCCCGGTGGCATTGCCAAAGAGGCTAACATTCTCCTCTCTGAAGATAAAATCACTTTTCCCTTTGATGACAAACTGACCCCTAACCAAAGCCACATACTCCTCTTCTAACCTGGTCATCTATGTGACTAATTCTGGCCCCAGATGAGCTGAGATCTCAGGGCTATCATCTCCGTAGGCCTATTCAGAAGCAACAGCTGCCACCCAGGGCCCAAGATCAAACTCTACTGCCCCAACCCACCAGAGCCCTGTTAGGGTCTGCCCCTGCCCAAGTCCACAAGTGTGACCCCAAAAGGACTTACCCACAGCCCCAAATTCCCGGCCTCCACCTCAGACTTAGGTCTCTTCTGACAGTTGGGGCTCAGGGGCTTAGCCCAACTGATTCTTGGTTGCCAAGCAGGTTGCCAGGACGCGGGAACTCTATGGCTAGTGAGCGCACTGAGCATGTGCAGAGGGGTGGCAGAAAGTCTTGGGAGGCCTGGTGGGGGAAGGCAGGGAGGGAGTAGAGAGGGAGGAGGGAGAGGGGAGAGAAAGGCCCAGGTAACCACAATTCCCCCAAGCTCAGGCTGCCAGAAGAGTCAGCCTAGGTGGGAAGCCCTCTTGGATCCCAGGGGAGCTCTGTAAGGGAGGGAGCTGAGCCCTACACAGACTGGGGCTGTTAACCTGCCTGCACCCTGTGCAGACATGAGTATGCGTGGGGGAGCCAGGATGCGTGGGGGAGCCACTGACAGGCCTGGGTCTCCAAGATAGAATGTGTCTATAGTTTAAATAACCAAAGCTGTGGGCATATTTGTCTGTAACAGACAGGACTCTACTGAGAAGAAGAGGTGTTCTGACCATTTGGAGGGAGGAGGATTGGACACTGGTGACCAAAGGAACAGAAGCCTAGATTCTGCTCTTATTGAAATACTCATAGGAGGAGGCTAGTGTTTTTGAGGCTTCTAACAGTCATGGTGTAGTGGTTGTGTGCCTGGTAGTGTGTTCAGTGGCAAATAGCAGAAAAGTATGCAGGCACTTTTGTGGGTGTCCCCCTACATCCACCCCTCCCTTTCACCAGTTCCTGTCTCTGTTTGCATAGCCATGTGGATAGAGAGGCTAATGTACCCAGCTCCAGGAGCGGAACGTGTGTCAATCTGCCCATGCCATCTCCCTGGCCACAGGGATTGGTTAGGCAGGGGCATGTTCCTGAGCCTCTCCAATCAGAACCAATCTCCCTTTTGTTGGGAATCCTGAGATATAGACTTTCTCTTTCTCCCTATGTGCATAAATAAGAAAGCATATAGTTCTGAGAGCTTTGGACAACCTTTTTGGAACACTGAAGCTATTCCCAGGGACAGAGAAGATATACCTAAAGAAAATGGGTTATTGGGGACAGTGTTGAGTCCTGTCCAACTACTACTATATGCCCTACTACTATATGCATTAATTTATATGAGCCAAAACATTCCCTTTATTGATTATGCCAATTTGGATTGAGTTTTCTCTGACTTGCAACCAAAAGCATCCTAACTGATGGTTGCCCTCACAGAGGATAGCTTTGTAGTCAGGAGAATGACTGTTGCCCAGGACCAAATATCTAAATGCCAAATTACTTGGCACATAAAGTTAGAGTCTAAGAAAGTCCAGTGAAGTCTCTGGCAGTGAGAGAAGAATTCCTGAATAAGACAGTGGGATTTCAATGGTGGAGGGGAAAATGAGAACATTCCAGTTTGAGTAGGAAGCAAGAGTAAAGAGAGAAGGTGCATTTGCAAGACTGATTTTCTTTTTGAGAGGAATGGGTGTCCTGGGAAAACTAAGGTGTGAATATTTGGGATAGGGACAGATCGTAGGGAGCTTTAAAACCAAGCTGATAAATTTAAACAGCATGGTAGTCAAAAAGTCATCAGGCAGTTTGAGAAACAAAGTGATATGAAATGCTTTAAGAAAAAGCATCAAAGTGAAGGTGGAGCCAGTTGAGAACAGAGACCAGGAGGCCAGTGATGAGACTGTTAATAATGACCCTGATACAGGTGACAGATTGGAAGAGGAAAATGGTAACAACAAGTACTTACTGACACCTGCCTGATTCAAGGCTCTTTGCTGGGTACTAGGAATATAGGATGAATAAGACTGAGTGAATAATCTTCAAGAAGCTTGCAGTCTCCTGAAGAAGGTAGAGATGGGTGTGGAACGTGTATAAAGATAACAGGATGGGAACTGCAAGAGAAATATGTACCGAAAAAAGAAAAAGGAACAAGTAACGGCTGGGGTAGGAAGTTAGGGAAGACTTCACAGAGACCTGAAAGTGCAAGTGAGTGTGACAGTGTGAGGGAGTCCACCTGGGCTTGCAGACAGGTGGGACCTACATAAGGGAGAAGGAGGAGCTGAAGCTAGCCATGGGGAAGAAATAGAGACATTTGGAAGGCAGACTCCAAGATATGGGGCAGGGACTGCCCTTCCCAGGGGTCACAGAAAGACCTGGCAGCTGCAAGTTTTCTGACCTAGAGAACCTGGAGAATGTCGATGCTATGGACAAAACAAGATGATAAAAATAATAGACAGTGGTTATGAGTACTTATGTGTCAGGCACTGTTAATCCTCATAATAAACACATGGGAGTTGTTGTTATTACTCTAGTTTTGTGTAGAAGAACCAAGACAGAGGAGGTAGCAGAGTTATACTTCAAATCGAGGCAATTTGATTCCAGAGCCTGTCTTCTTACACCCTACACTAAGCTGCCTGAGGAAGTCTGTGTGCAGGAAAAAAGATGAATCTGAAATAATTTCAAATAACAAGGTTTTTAAACTATAATACTTTTGCTTTAGCCCTGAGACACTTTCCCATCATGATTTCTTATCAACCCCCAAAAGATAAAAATCACCAAACTTTGACAAATTAAGGGAGGTTCATTGTGACTGCTTAGCAGGAAATCTCTGCAAAGTGCAGGACAAGCATTGAGTAGTCATTACTTGTACTTCACATGGTTTTGTGAGAGTGTCTCCAACTGAGACCCAGGCAAGTGTGAGAGGGCAGGGTGAGAGGTACAGAGAGCCCTGGGGACTCCTGCACCCCTAGAGTTCTTGAAAGAAATGAGCAAAGTGTCTACACAATTCACAGAAAATAATGTTTAGTACCTCTGAGACCCAGGTAAGAAAAATCCAGCACAGATTTGAGCTATTTTCTCCCTACACAGAAATTACATTTAGGAAAAACTACTGAATGATGCTGTAAGAGACCCCATTTTGTATAATTAAAATTTGTCTCCGTTTTGAAATACTGACTCAAATGATTCTAAAAATACGGTCAGGGTGGTGGCTGGTGGTTGCCATTATGGAGGAACCTTTTCCAGGGTTATTCTCGGTCTCAGCTTTATCAGGGTACAGAAGAGACTGCAGGTAGTTGATGTACTTGATTGCAGCTCTAAGGGTTTCCACTTTGCTGAGTCGTTTCTCCAAATACTCCTCTGGCAGATGATGTCGGAGCTGGGCATAGCCTTCGTTGACACACTTTACCCGCTGTCTTTCCCGCTCGTTCCTTTTCCGGATAAAGGCCGGCCCATAGGAGTATTCACACCTTCTGTAATTTGGATAAGGTATTGGGAAAGAGATGGGGCAGGGTTCACCGAAATTGTCCATAATCAGGGAGTCACTGGGAAAAGGCAGCAATGGCAGCTCTTCAGAGTAAGGGGAGGGCACAGGGGCCTCCGGGTACAGGTGGAAAGTGACCATGGGGTCCAGATAGAAGGACCTGGTCAGCGGCAAGTGGGCAGGATCAGAGAAGACAGGAAGTTTGTCTTGCAGATCAGAATTGGTCCTATTGTCCATCATTTCCTCTTTAACCTGGAAACATAATCAAGTTTATTAATTTGGCTAGATAAAAAGAGAACAGATATGATCTACTTTCTTGGAGATCAATATTTTAACAGCTTTTCTGCTATGATGACTAGTTTCTGAGCTCACATGGAAAAAACTAGATGGTGTTATACTATTCTGGGTAAAGTAAGAGAGAGGATTTTTTTGATGTTGCACAGAAATACCACTACGTAACATTTATCACCTTGTGGGAAAGTCGTGTCATTCTCCTTCAATCTCTTTCAATCCTTGTGATTACAAAGATACAGTCTAGTCTGGTGAGAATGTGTTTTCCATGCCACTAGAATGCTTTCTAATACCCCTCAGAGTGAAGCCTTCTATGAACAATAGTATCTAGCTAGAATTTATTAATAAATTTTTAACTAACTTCTATTTATTGTGAACTATACTGATTTTGCATTTGTAGTACTGATATAAAGTTCTTAAAAATAAATCTGCTTGTGTAAAAAATGTGAATTAAAGAAAAATAGTTAAGTAAATAATAGTACAGGTGGAACGCTGACCTAATGAACATGAAGGTGTATGCAAATAACTGAAGTTTGGAAAACACTAAAACACCACAATATTCAAATACACGTTGGAGAAATCACAAACTAGTTAATGATCATGCAAACTCACAGTCACAGCCTTCTTAATACCTGTTATGGTAGAGGCAAGACCAAAAATAAAAATAAGAAAGGAATCATTTTTCTTAAGTATTCACTAAGAGATTCCTTCAAGTGAGAAACTTCCTTAACACATTTAAAAAATCAATTTACAAATTTTTACTTAGATAGAACTGTAAATAAATTGAGTAAAGTACATCTATATTTAGTTTTTTTGCTCAGGTGGTTTCGAACTCCTGAACTCAAAGGATCGCCCGCCT